TTTTCTTTTTGCTTTTCAGGTTAGGAAATTTCTACTGTCATATCTTCATACTCATTTGTCCTTTCCTCAGCAGTGTTTAGTGTACTGATGAGCCCACCAAAGGCGTTACTCATTTTGTTTTTCTTAGATACTTTGTTTTGGTTCTTTCTTAGAGACTCCATATCTCTGCTTACATTTTCCATCTGTCCTTGCATGTTGTCTATATTTTCCATTAGCTCTCTTAACATATTGATCACAGTTACTTTAACTTTCCTACATGAAAATTCCAAATTTGTGTCATGTCTGAGACTGGTTTAAATGTTTGCTTTGACTCTTCAGAATGTTTTCTTTTACCTGTTAGTATGATTTGTAATTTTTCTTTAAAGCTAGATAGGATGCATTGGGTAATTAGAAATTAATTAAATAGGCTCTTAGTGTTATGTTTTATGTTAATCTGGCTAGGAGTTATGCTGTGTTCAATGTTTTCTGTAAATGTAGGTACCAGAGTCCTCAATTTTCTATAATGTCCTTGTTTTCGCCTCTCCTGTTGTTTTTGCATTTCCCTATAAATTCCTTGTTCAACAGAGTCAGTTTCTTGCAATTCTTTCACCTGTAAATTATTGTTAATATATGAGAGCCCTGTTGACATAGTAGTAAGGTGTAGAGGAGAGGAAGTATTCTATAACCTTATGATTACAGTTTCGTCTTTTAGTGAATGTATGCTTTTAGACTGTGGTGAGACAGGAAAGGAAGAGGGATCTGGAGTTGAAGTTACCCTTCAATCACGTTGGATAAGGCCCTGATAAAATCCTTCCCTTTGTAGAGCAGGCCTTTGTTATGGAGAACACTCTGGACATATTTCAGAATGGTTATTTTTGTCCTCCCACTATCAGAAACACAAGTAGATTTTTCTTGGCTCTTTACCATAAGAATCTGGTAGGCTTACTGGCAGTAAAATCCATAACAGTGTGTAGGTGCTCCCAATACTGAATCCCCAGGATTTTCTCACTTTCAACCCTTTTTCACATTCAGCCTCGAGCAGTTTGTGAAAATCACAATTTAAATGTTTCTAAGAGTTTTGGCTAGTTCTCTTTCAGGTAAGCTGATCTCAACTGTGATATTCTGCCTTCTCCTGTCTCTCTAGATTTCAGGATGGCAGTTTGACCTGTACCTCAACTATCTGGTGAGTCCAAGTAAAGTCCTTGACTTTCAGTTTGTTTGACTTTTTCTTGTTGTAAGGAAAAGATGGAGGATGTCCAAGATCTTTACATGTTAGAACTGGAATGGGAAGTCTGTGTTGATTTTTTTTTATTGTAATGTACTAAATTATAGCCAAGTTACCTGAATGAGTGAAGACAGACTCCATAGTAGCCAAATTTGAAGCAATTTAAGTATCAGAATAATCTTATTTCTATTTTAAATATATTATTTTAAATGGCTATCTGCACTCTGCTACTATTTTGTTTTTGTGTTGGAGTGGCATAATTAATCTTTAAGAAAATTTATACTTAAAGATATTAAGAGTCATGAGAATTAAACTCAGTTCTACTTTAATGATATATAAATTCCACTGAGGTTCAGAGTACAGAATTTCTTTGACAAATTAACTCTATTTAATACTGAGGAAAACATGGTTTCTATGTCAAACAACAATGACACTTCAAGGATAATAAAGGTGTTGTTTTAATAAACATTTGCTATATGTCAGTATTTTGAGGAAATAGGTATAATTTGGGAACACTGGGCACATCTTTAATTAATATACCTGGAACATGAATCTCTGTTTTATATACTCTGTAGAAATTTATCCAAGGTATTTCTTAATTCCTGAAAAAGAATTTTCAGTGTCAAATATTTCCATAGCTACTTACTGTGTATATGTAGTATACATGATGTTGAGTATAGCATGATTAAATAACATTGCTTCTTTTCTTGCTGTGGATAGGGGTAGACTTGAATGCTATTATCAAAGATTTATCATGTTTTCCCTGTTTATTCAATAGTAATCTGTTTTCTCTCCAGAAACCAAGCATAAAGTATTTCTTTGCATTAAAAGTGAGGTAAATTTTCCTCTAATTGTCCTTTCTCAAGAGAAAACACCCCTTGCTGATGGAAAAAGTAGTAGAGAGAATAGAGATACTTGTAAAAGTATAAGATTAGATTTTCACCTCATCCTTATATCAAAACTTTAAGCTTTTAAACATTAAGCATAAGAACATATATGAAGCTATTAGAACACTGCCTGGCACATAAGCACTCAATAAATGTGAGCTACTATTATTATTTATTATAGTAGCATTAATTGGTTCAACTACTTTTCAGAGTATATTGCACTATTTATAAAAAGTAAAATGCAAATCTTCTTTGAGGAGGCCATTTCAAATCTAAGAATGTATGCCATATAAATAATATAAATAAAATTTATGTTTGTGACTATATATATGTGTATATATATCCATATATGAGTACACACACACTAAAATTTCCCCGTAAGTGTTTCCTGCTCTGCAGGCTCATGTCAAAATCTTTAAAGCAACCTAAATCACTATCAGCAGCATACTGTTAAATACTATGGTAGATAGATTCTAATGTGCCTCCCTACAATATTTCCACTTCCTGCTGCATATGCCCTACATAATTCTCTCTCCTTACGTATCTGTGGAACCTGTGAATATAATGGGATATCACTACCATTATTAGGTTACTAATCAGTTGGGTAAGAGTTAATCAAAGTAAAGATTATCCTGGGTCAGCATCACCTAATCAGTTGAACCCTTTAAAGGGACTGTGCTTTTCCTGAAAGAAGAGAGTTGAAGCATAAGTGTGATCCTTTTGCTTGACTTGAAGGAACAAATGACCAGGACATAGAGAAGTTGATGTGGCACGGAATGGCTAGATGCTAAGAAAAGCCTTTTGCTGATAACCAGTAAGAAAGTGGGAATGCCAGTCCGATAAGCACAAAGAATTAAATTCTTCTAATAATCAGTGAGAAGAACATCAGTGAAAAAGTTGGAGTAAGGACCTCCAAAATTTCTCGAATCCATAAAAGCAATTAGAAAACTGGCAACTATTTACAAAACCAAATTTTTCAGAATACTGGAAATTACCAAAGGATTGCAAGAATCCTGGGATTACTTATTCAAGTAAAATTGGCTGAATTTTGTAAGAACAGTGATTTTTGTGGTGTTTTAACTTGCCTTGTCCCTATCCCTTGCTCTCTGGCAATGCAGTGGCATTGAAGACTAACAGCCCATATTTACAATGAAGACCTGACAGCAACCAGAGGGAAAAAAATGTTTCTGGAGCTCCTGCAAAGTCCCATTTGTAGAAAATTGTCATTATTTGGTCTGTCTGATAGTTTTATGGAAGACTTGATATGGAATGTTGTATACATTTAACCTAACTCATAGTTTGTCCCACATAAAGAACCTTTTCCCTGGGAGCATTGTTGAAAACAATTGCAGGCAATTGTTTAATTTCATGGCTGCTTTAAATGGTAGATTAAAAATGGGACAAATACACAAATCAAAAGCTTAAAGTTAAAAGCTGCAGAATGAGATACCTAGAAGGGCTTTGAGAAATTCTGACGTATTTTTGGGAACCTAAAAGACCACACATATGCGCAGAGCTATGCACATGCCCAGGGCTGCGTGCATGCTAAAGAAGAACTTGAGAAGGCTCTAAGCTATCAAGTCTGACAGACATTGAGGCACTGCATATCTAAGAAATGAAAGATAAGGCAGAGTTGTCAATTGCCTGTCTGAGTGTTGAAGGCATGTCATAATATGCACACACAGCCTTTCAGCAAAGACTAAGTGATGTATTAGTTCCTGGGGGCTAAAGACATCTCTGTCCAAATTTTAGGTGACCACTAACCTACTTCAGCATAAACTTTAGTGACCATATATGGCAAAGAATATAGTCTTTACATAATTAATTAAACAAAAAACAACAACTATAGCAAATACCACCAATAACAAACCCTGAGGAGAGGGAAGAATCGGATTTCAAGAGTTACCACATTATATTACTTAAAATGCCCATTTTTAAACAAAAATATGACACATTCAAAGACTATGCAAACACAATAATAAGAAAGTTGGAGTGGCTATCAGACAAAATAGAGTTTAAAACAAAAATTATTACTAGAGGAAAACAAAGTTATTTTATAAGGGGTCAATCCATGAAAAAAATGTAATAATTATAAAAAGATAAGCACCTAACAATAGAGCTCCAAAGTACATGAAACAAAAGTAACAGAATTGAAATAATTGAAGGCAGAAATAGTCAATCAAACAATAATAGTTGAAGACTTCACTAATAGATAAAACAAATAGACAGAAGATCCAAAAAAAAAAAATAGAAGACTTGAAAACCACATGAAACCAACTAGAACTGATATATACATACAACACTCTATCTAAAATAGCAGAATACATTCTACTAAAGTGCATATGGAACACTGTGCAAGATAGACCATACGGTAAGCCATAAAACAAGTGTCAATAAATGTAAAATGATTGAAATCATACAAAATATATTCTACAATGAAAATGGAATCAAATCAGAAATAGAAAACAGAAGGAAATTTGTAAATTCACGAATATGTAGAGAATAAACAACAAGTGCTGAAAGGAAAAAACCTATAGCCAAGAAGACTCTACCCAGTAAGGTTATCATTCAGAATGGAAGGAGATATAAAGAGTTTTCCAGACAAGCAAAAACTAAAGGAGATTATCACCAAGAAACTAGCCTTACAAGAAATGCTAAAGGGACATATTTAGGTGGAAAAGAAAAGACCACACACAGGGAAAAGAAAATTATCAAACAAACAAAATCAATTGTAAAGGCAAATATACAATAAAGGGAACAGACCTACCACCTATGGAGTTAATATGAAGGTCAAAAGACAAAAGTACTAAAATTATCCATTTCCAAGACAAGAGGGTAACAGATACACAAGCACAAAAAGGAGGTTAGATATGATATCAAAAACATAAAACGTGGGAGGAGGAGAGTAAAAGAGTGGAACTTTTAGCAAGAGGTCAAATTTAAGAGACCATCAGTTTAATATAGACTGTTATATACACAGCTTATTATATATGAATCCCATGGTAATCACAAAACAGAAACCTATAGTAAATACACAAAAAATTAAGAGAAAGGAACCCAAAAATAATACTAAAGAAAGCCATCAAAGCACAAGAGAAGAGAAAAAGAGAAGAAGACAGGAACAGAGAAAAACTACTAAAGCACCCAGAAAAAAAGTAACAAAATGGCAATTAAGTACATTCTTACAAATAGCTACTTTAAATGTCAATGGAGTAAACATTCCAATAAAAAAGCATAGGGTGGCTGATTCGATAAAAAAACATGACCTGTAAATATGCTGCATACAAGAGATACACTTCAGACCTAAAGACACTCACAAACTGAAAGTGAAGGGATAGAAAAAGATACCCCATGCAAATGGCAATGAAAAGAAAGCTGGAGTAGCAATACTTATATCCAACAAAATAGACTTTAAAGAAAAAACTGTAACAAGAGACAAAGAAGGGTACTATATAACGATAAAGAAAACAATCCAACAAGAGGGTATAACACTTGTAAATATCTATGCACCCAACATAGGAACACCTAAATATACAAAGCAATCATTGACAGACATAAAAGGAGAAATAGACAGTAACACAATAATAGTAGGGGCCTTTAAAACTCCACTTACACCAATGAATAGATCATCCAAAGAGAAGATCAATAGGAAACATTGGCCTTAAATGACATGCTAGGCGAGATGGACTTAGTAGAAATACAGAACATTCCACCCAAAAACTGCACAATACACATTCTTTTCAAATGCACATGGAACATTCTTCAGGATGGATCACATCTTAGGCCACAAAATACATCTCAATACATTTAAGAAGATTGAAATAATATCAAGCATCTTTTCTGACCACAATGGTGTGAAATTAGAAATCAACTACAGGAGGAAAATCAGAAAAGCCACAAACATATGGAGATTAAACAAAATGCAACTGAACAATGATTGAGTCAATGAAGAAATCAAAGGAGAAATAAAAAAATACCTGGAGACAAATGAAAATGAAAATATGATATGACAAAATGTATGGGATACAGCAAAAGAAGCTCTAAGAGGGAAATCTATAACAGTATAGGCCTACCTTAACAAACAAGAAAAATCTCAAATAAACAATTTAACAGTGCACCTAAAGGAACTGGAAAAAGAAGAACGAACAAAGCCCCAAATCACTAGAAGGAAGGAAATAATAAAAATCAGAGCAGAAATAAATGAAATAGAGACTAAAATAACAATAGAAAATCAATGAAACGAAGAGTTGGTTCTTTGAAAAGATAAACTAAATTGACAAACTTTTAGCTAGATTCACCAAGAAAAAAAGAGAGAAGGCTCAAATAAATAAAATCAGAAATGAAAGAGGAGAAATTAGAATGGGTACCTCAGAAATACAAAAGATTATAAGAGAATACTATGAAAAGCTATATGCCAACAAATTGGATAATCTAGAAGAAATGGATTAATTCTTAGAATCATACAACCTTCCAAAACTGAATCAAGAAGAAATAGAGAATTTGCATACACCCATCAGAGATTGAAACAGTAATAAAAAAACCACACCAAAAATAAAAGTCCAGGATCAGATAGCTTCCCTGGTGAATTCTACTAAACATTCAAAGAAAACTTAATACCTATCCTTCTCAAACTCTTCCAAAAAATTGAAGAGAAGGGAAAACTTCCTAACTCATTCTACAAAACCAACATTACCCTGACACCAAAACCAGATAACCACAACACAAAAAAGAAAATTATAGGCCAATATCACTGATGAACATTGACGCAAAAATCCTCAACATAATACTAGCAAATCAAATACAACAATACATTAAAAAGATCATACACTGTGATCAAGTGGGATTTATTCCAGGGATGCAGGGATGGTTCAACATCCACAAATCAATCAACATGATACACCACGTTAATAAAATGAAGAATAAAAATCACATGATCATCTCAATAGATGCAGAGAAGGCATTTGACAAGATACAGCATCCATTTATTATAAAAACTCTGAATAAATTGGGTATATAAAGAAAGTACCTCAACATAATAAAGGTCATATAAGACAAACCCAAAGCCAATATAATACTCAATGGAGAAAAACTGAAAGGTATCCCTCTGAGAACAGGAACCAGACAAGGATGCCCACCTTCGCCACTCTTATTTAACGTAGTATTGGAAGTCCTAGCCAGAGCAATCAGGCAAGAAAAATAAATAAAATGGATCCAAACTGGAAAAGAAGTGAAAATGACACTATTTGCAGATAACATGATTATGTGTATATAAAACCCTAAAGAATCCACCAAAAAACTACTAGAAATAATGAATACAGTAAAGTTGCAGGATACAAAATCAACATACAAAAATCAGTTGTATTTCTATACACTAACAACGAAGTAGCAGAAAGAGAAATTAAGAATACAATCCCATTTACAACTGCAACAAAAAGAATAAAATACCTAGGAATGAATTCAACAAGAGAGGTGAAAGATCTGTACACTGAAAACTATAAAACATTGTTGAAAGAAATTGAAGAAGACACAAAGAAATGGAAAGATATTCCGTGCTCTTGGATTTGATGTTAAATGTCTACACTTTCTAAAGCAATCTATAGATTCAATGCAATCTCTCTCAAAGTTCCAATGACATTTTTCACAGAAATAGAAGAATTCTAAAAGTTACATGGGACAACAAAAGACCCCAAATAGCCAAAGGAATCCTGAGAAAAAAGAACAAAGCTGGAAGTATCACACTTCCTGATTTCAAAATATACTACAAAGATGTAGTAATCAAAACACCATGGTAATGACAGAGAAACACACACACAGATCAATGGAACAGAATCAAGAGCCCAGAAATAAACCCACACATTTATGGACAGTTACTTTTTTACTGGGAAGCCAAGAACATACAATGGAGAAAGGAAAGTCTCTTCAATAAATGGTGCTGGGAAAGCTGGACAGCCACATGCAAAAGCATGAATGGAGACCATTATCTTACACCATACACAAAAACTAACTCAAAATGGATTAAAGACTTGAATGCAAGATCTGAAACCATAAAACTTCTAGAGGAAAACATAGGCAGTACCCACTTTGACGTCAGTCTTAGCAGTATATTTTCAAGTACCATGTCTGATTAGGCAAGGGAAACAATAGAAAAAAAATAAATAAATGGGACTACATCAAACTAAAAAGTTTCTGCACAGCAAAGGTAAACCATCAACAAAACAAAAAGGCAACCTAACAATTGGGAGAAGATATTGGCAAACCATATATCTGATAAGGAGTTAATATCCAAAATATATAAAGAACTCATATGTCTTAACAACAAAAAAACTAACAACCCTTTTAAAAAATGGGCAAAATGTCAGAACAGACATTTTCCAAAGAAGATATACATGTCGCCAACAGGCACATGAAAAGATGTTCAACATCACTAATTATTAGGGAAATGCACATCAAAACTACAATGAGATATCACCTCACGCCCATCAGAATGGCTATAATTAACAAAGCAAGAAGTAACAAGCTTTGGAGAGGATGTGGAGAAAAGGGAACTCTCATATACTGCTGGTGGGAATGCAAAATGGTACAGCCACTATGGAAAACAGTATGGAGATTCCTCAAAAAATTAAGAATAGAACTACCATGTGATCCAGCTATTCCACTGCTGGGTATTTATCCAAAGAACATGAAAGCACGAATGTGTGAAGATACCTGCACCCCTATGTTCACTGCGAAATTATTCACAATAGCCAAGACTTGGCAGCAACCTAGCTGCCCAACAAGGGACGAATGGATAAAGAAGATGTGGTATATATACACAATGGAATACTACTCAGCCATAAAAAAGATGAAATCTTGCCATCTGTGACAAGAAGGATGGATCTTGACGGTATTATGCTAAGCAAAATAAGTCTGACAGAGAAAGTCAAATACCACATTATCTCACTCATTAATAGAAGATAAAATAACAACAAATAAACAGAGACAGATTGGATTGGTAGTTACGAGGGGATGGGGGGATGGGAGGAGGATGAAAGGGGTGATTAGGCATATGTGTATGGTCATGGATGGTAATTAGTCTTTGGGTAGTGAAAATGATGTAGTCTACACAGAAATCAAAATATAATGGTGTACACCTGAAATTTATATGATGTTATAGACCAATGTTACCTCAATTAAAAAAAAAAGAAAAGAAACAACATACTATTAAGTAACAAATGGATTAAATAAAAAAACAAAACAAAACTAGAAAATATTTTGAGATGAATGAAAATGAAAATAAACTTATGGGAAGCAGTGAAACAAGTGCTAGAATGAAATATACAGCTGTAAACTCCTATGTTAAAAAGGAAAGATCTCAAATCAATAACCTGAGTTACCACCTTAAGAAACTAAAAAAAGAAGAGCAAACTAAACTGATATCAAACAGAAGGAAGAAAATTATAAATATTAGAGCAGAAAAATGAAATGCAGAATTACTAAAGAAAAATTTTAAAACTAAAAGTTAGTTCTTTCAAAAGATGAAAAAAACTGGCAAAACTTTAGCTAGACTAACCAAGAAAAAAAAGAGAGAAGACTTAAATTATTGAAGTGAAGAAAGAAAGAGAGGCCATTACCATAGATCACAGAGAAAAAAAAAATATATATATATATATAAAATAAGTGAATCTTGTGAATAATTGTATGTCAAAAAATTTGATAACCTAGATGACATGGATGAATTTCTAGAAAAAATACAAACACTAACTACTAAATGTGCCTCTAAAAGAAATAGAATATCTGAATCTACCTATAATAAGACATTGATTTAATAATCAAAAAACTTCCCACAAAGAAAAGAGTCCAAGACCAGATGGCTTCACTGGTGAATACTACCAAATATTTAAGAATTTGCAACAATCCTTCACAAAATCATCTACAAAGTAAAAGAGTGATCACTTCCCAAACCATTCTATGAGACCAGTATTAATTTCTCTAATACCAAAACCAGAAAAAAAAAATCACAATAATATATCCCTAACGAATATAGAGATAAAAATCCACAAGAATATACAAGCCAACAGATTCCAGCAACCTACAAACAAGGGTGATTTATCTCAGGATCATCCCCGGTTGGATTACCATAAGAAAATCAGTCAAAATAATATAACATAATAATAGAATAAAAAGAAAAAAAATCACATGATCATCTCAAAATGTAGAAAAAGTTTTTGCCAAAATCCATCACCCTGTCATGATAAAAACACTCAAAAAACTAGGACTAGAAGGAAACTTCCTCAGTCTGATAGAAAGTATTTATGAAAAATCCAGTTAACTGTATACTTAACGGTGAAAGATTGAAAGCTTTCCAACCATTAAGATCAAAAACAGGACAAGGATATTCACTCTCATCACTTTTATTAGAAGCTCTAGATAAATCAATTAGGCAAGAAAATGAAATAAAATGCATCCAGATTGGAAAGAAAGAACTAAAACTGTCTCTATGCAGATGACATGATCTTATATATGGAAAATCCTAAGGAATTCACCATTAGAGCTAATAAATTAGTTCAGTGAGTCTGAAAGAATCAATTATATATTATAGCATTTAATAATCAGAAAATGAAATTATGAAAACAATTCTATTGACAATAGCAACAAAAAGAATAAAGTACATAAGAAAAAATTAACAAAAGAACCTTAAATCTTATACATTGAAAACTGTAAAACACCATTGAAAGAAATTAAAGGATAAATAAATGGAAAAATATCCTTATGCTTAGGGATTGGAATACTTAATATTGTTCAGATGGCAATACTACCCAAGGAAATTTGCAGATTCAATGCAAAGTCTATCAAATCTCTAACAGCATTTTTGCAGGAATTGACAAGTTAGTGCTAAAATCCATATGGAAATTCAAGGGACTCAGAATCCAAAATCATCAAAACAATCTTGCATAAGAAGGACAAATTTGGAGGTTCCACATTTCCTAATACTGAAACTTCCTAGAAAGATACGGTAATTAAGGCAGTGTGGTATTGGAATAAGAATGGGCATATAGATCAATGGAATAAAATTGAGATTCCAGAAATAAATTCATATTTACATGGCCAATTGATTTTGAAAAGAGTGGCAAGACAGTTCAATGTAGAAAAAATAGTAATTCAACAAGTGCTATTAGACTTTTTCCTTACAACATATAAAAAATTACTCCAAAATGAATCAAAGAGCTAAATATAAGGGATAAAAGTATAGAACTCTTAAATGAAAGCATGGGTGTAAGTCTTTATGACTTTGAGTTTTGCAAAACCTTCTTAGATATAATATGCACAGTATAAGTGATAAAAGAATAAATAGATAACTTGGACTTAACTGAAATTAAAGCCTTTTGTGATTCAAAGGACACTATCAGTAAAGTGAAAAACTAATCAAAGAATGAGAGAAAATATTTGCAAATCATATATCTGACAAGTGGTTTATATCCAGAATATATAAAGAATTTTTAACAATAAAAAGACAAATAATTCAATTAAAAAATGGACAAAGAATTTAAGTAGATATTTCCTCAAAAAAAATAAAAATGTCCAATAAGCACATAAAATATACTCAACATTGTTAGTCATTGGGGAAATGCCAATCAAAACCATAATGAGATTCTACTCCACACCCACCGGGACGGCTATAATAATAATTTTGTAAATGTTGATAACAATATTGGCAAAGTTGTAGAGAAATTGGTACCCTCATAACGTTGCTGGAAAGATAAAATAGTGAAGCCACTGTAGAATACAGTTTGGCAGTTTCTCCAAAGGTTATACATAGAGTTACCACATGATGTAGAAACTCCACAAGTAGGTATATACCCAAGAAATTGCAAATATATGTCCACACCAAAACTTGTACATAAATGTTCATAGCAACATTATTCACAATAGCCAAAAAGTAGAAAACTCCAAATTTCCATAGATGAATGGATAAACAAAATGTGACATACCCATACAATGGAATATTATTCAGCCATAAAAAGGACTGAAGTACCGATACATGGTACAACACGGATGAAACTTTAGACATTATGCTAAGAGAAAGAATGAGACCTAATAGACCACATATAGCATAATTTGATCTATAAGAAATGTCTAGATAAGGCAAATCCATATAGACAGAATGTAGATTAATGGATGCCAGATGCTGGGGCAAGGAGAAAATTGGGAGTGACTGCTAATAGTTATGTAGTTTCTTTTTGGGGGTAATGAAAATATTCTGGATTTAGACAGTGATGATTGTCTTACAACCTCATGGATATACTAAAAATCATGAGATTCTACACTTTAAAATGGTGGATTTTATGGTATGTGAATTATTTCTCAAACAAAAAGCTACAAAAAACCTTTGAGGACAATTGAGGATATTTAGGTACAGACTAAAAGTTAGATGATAATAGAGAACAATTCCTAATTTTCTCAAGGTGAAAACAATACCATGCCTATAAAAGATAATGACATTATTTTTAGGTGATGCGTTCTGAAATTTTTAGGGATAAATTTATAATATCTTCAACTTATTTTTATATGGATTAGCAAAAAATATTTTTTACATGCTTAAATAAAATATTGTTAGCAAAATATTAATTGTTCAATCTATGTTGTGGGTACCAGAATGTTAAATGTACTATTTTTTTGACTTTTTTATTTTGAAAATTTTCCTAAAATAATGTTGGGTAAGAAAGATTAAAGGTCTCACTATTACCACCATGATCTATTGATCAAGTTTTCTCATCACTTATTAGGAAACATTCAGATATTATATATCTCTTGATTTAACATGAAATAAAATATGCTACTCATTATGATGTGTTCTATACACCATGGTTCTATACACCATGGTGTGTTCAAAATTGTATACCTTAAAATTATCAGGCCGGCCCCAGTGGCCTAGTGGTTAAGTCCGGTGTGCTCCAGTTCGGCAGCCTGGGTTTGGTACCCGGGCACAGACCTACACCACTCATCTGATAGTGGCCAAGCTGTGGTGGCGGCTCACATAAAAAAAAGGAAAAAAAGAGGAAGAATGGCAATGGATGTTAGCTCAGGGCATATCTTCTTCAGCAAAAAAAATAATAATAAAATAAAAAAATTATCAAGTCTTTGGGGAAAACTTCCAGCTTAGGAGACTGAGTGACCATATAAAGGACACCAATAGGAATCAATAAGAAAAATTCAGCAGATAGGATATTCTTCAGGACAGCTGACCTGGTCATTACAACAAATCTGTGTCCCTAGAAAGGGACTGTTTTAAATTAAAAAAGATTTAAGAGATATAATCTGATGCAGTACTTGTTCCTAGATTAAATTCTGGTTTAACAAACAAGCTATAAAGGAGATAACTGGTATGATTTGAAACTAGATCGAATACTAGATGAGATGAAATATTTTTGCCTTAGAAAAGTAGAGACTGTGAAGAAAAAAACATTGCAAAGTAGTATGTACAGTGTGATCACATTTTGATAATACATGCATATTTGAAAGCATTATATATACATATAAAAAGATTATATAGATAGATACATAGAAATAGATATATGCAGAAGGATAGCCACTAAAGTGTTATCATCTGTGCTCTCTGGGTTGTGGGAATATGCTCTGTTACTTTTTTAAATTTTTTTCAACGGTATTTACATTTTTCTACAGTTTGTATACAGCTTTTATAACGTTTAAAATATGTCTTAATAAGTGTCAACTTGAAAAAAAAAGAACTCGGTGCTTGGAAGATCTCAAGCCTCAGATCAGGTCACAGCTTCAGCAGTCACCTTGATTTTAATTTCAGTTTTTTGAGACTGAGGAGAGAAACTGATTGATTGATTCCTGCTTGGGCTTCTAACTTACAGAAAATTTGAAATAATAAATTTGTATTGTTTTAAGCTGCTAAGTTTATGACATTTTCTTACACAATAATAGAAAACTAATACAATGCATTTTGGTATTAGCATACAATGGAATAGTACGCAGTAGAATGAGGAAAATATACATGTACTGATCAAAAAGAAATCTAAGATACTTTTTATTGTGTGTAAAAGATGAGACATGGAACATTTTGTAGAAAGCTATTATTTAAGTAAAAAATAAATGGATATACATCTGTATAAACACATGTACCTTTAGGATGCAAGTTATAGAAATCTTAATTCCAATTAACTTAAACAATAAGGTCATTTATTATATCACATGACAGGGTATCCAGAGGTATTGTGGCCTTCAATTTAGTTGAATTAGTAGCTCAATACTGTCATCAAGAACTCAGGTCCTTTCTGTCTCTTCACTGTTTTCCACAGAATTAGCTTCATCTCAATAATAAGACTAATAGAACTGTCATTTACTGTAATCCAGGGACTTTTCTAATCTATTTACATATATTATCACATTTTATTCATATTCACTGTGATGTAGCCACCATTATTATCCTCATGTTGTACACAAAGAAACTAAA